GTTTTTCGAAGTGGTCTGTACCGAACCTAAAATGGTTCAGAGAATTGCAACGAATTCGAAACCTTTTTAGGTTCCGTACGATGTACGAAACCCTTTTTACGTTCAAAATACCTTTTTTGGTTCGGTATGGTACTTTTTTTTTTTAGTGTGTGGACCTATGGATACTTCCATAGGATGGCCCTTGCGAACCTATGGGTACCCCCATAGGATAGCCCTTGAGGACGTATGGGTACCTCCATAGGATAGCCCTTGAGGACCTATGGGTACTTCCATCGGATGGCCCTTGAGGACCTATGGGTACCCCCATAGGATAGCCCTTGAGAACCTATGGGTACCCCATATAATAGTCCCTGGAGATCTTCCCTTATAGCCTTATGTGACCTTTGACCCTTGAACTTTGACTCGGCACAGACACAGACAGACACTGAACATTATAATATAGATAATAAAATAGGATACGATATATTCGTATATAAGATATAATATACTATTATAAAATGTATAAATAACAATAAAACGATGTGGGGGGTGGGGGGTGTGGGTGTGGGAGTGAGTGTGGGTGGGTGTAGGTGTGGATGTGGATGTTATGAACAAGAAGTAGCACACCCTCCCTCATTCGCTGTGTCTAATCACATACTAGCCACTAGCGTAAATGTATATCAAAAGTTAATCAGCCTTCTATCGGACGGATGGAAGTTTGGCTCTGTCTGAAAAAAAAAATCACATCAACACGTACATCCACAATCACACCGAGATGCATAAAATCGAAGCTACATCCGCACTCACAGCCTCAATTTTTAGAAGAGAAGAACAACGCACGTGGTTAGAAATCAACAACTCATAGCCAAGATTATAGCTGATGGATTTGTTGTGAAACAGCTCCGAAAGTATCGAGACTATTCGCCAATCTCTAAATAAAATATTGTAAAACGAAGTACATAACATTGACTGTTTTTATGCTGACTATAAATTCTTCAGATTTACAACCCCATGTGACATGTGCAAACTTCATTTAGGTTGTGCAAATAAAAGATAAGACACAAGTTGGATTTTTCATAATCAAAGAAAATAAAATCCAAAAGAGATATTGCAATGGGTGCGGCAGGCAGTCGTCGTGTTAAAGCTTATTTGCCTACAGCTCAAGTAATCAGTCTTACTGAGTCTGACGACTTAGTATGTACTGTTTGCAGTGGCATCTTATGGCAACCTGTGCAATGTAGTACATGTAGCCAATCATTCTGCCGGAAGTGTTTACAACACCGATTATCAAATGGAAGGAAATGCATCAACAACTCCTCACTTTGCGTCGAACAAAATTGTTCTAATGTAGTCGTCAAAAGGCTCTCGCAACTGAAGATTTCGTGTAAATACAAATCTAACGGATGTTTAGTTGTTGTTAAGTATGACTCATATGATTCGTTAGTAAAACATCAAACACAGTGCGACTATAAACCATTGAAATGCCCTGACTGTTCGAAGAATATTATTCAAAAGAAGTTTAGTGAGCATCATGAAAAATGTCCAATGGTTAGCGTTACTTGTGACAAATGCCATACTTCTTATCTGAGACAAGATGTTCATGCTCATACTACAGCGATATGCAACCAGGTAAAGTTTAATATTGACCAAAATAGTTGCGAAAATTTGAACTTAACGTTGCAGCTGTGGCATGAGAAGAACGATTTCTTGGCAATCAGACTAAATCTTTGAGTCCAAAATTATTTCTGCTAGATTCAATTCAAATAGACTGTTAGATCAGCTTATTTTAAGCACAAATACATGAAATAAATAGCTCGCTTACACTCTCACGTGATATAATCAGTATAAGTTTTATTGAATTTTTTTATACTTACGCAAAAAATTTTAATTGTTAAAGTCTATTAATTGCAAAACTTATACAAGTTTTTTTATGAAATAACAGAAAACAATTTTTATTGTTTTCAAACAAACAGCAATGTTACAGACACTGCATTTTATATCACTAAACACTGGAGAAGCTCTCTTACTTCGGTATTTGTATCTTCTTTTAGACCCAGCAACAGGTACATGTGCTAATAATCGAGCTGATGAACATTTTTTCTCCAACGTTTGTTTAATTTATTTTTGCTTCCTGGCAGAGAAGTGAATAAGTTTATCTCTTCGTTTCTGTGAACTTTGATCACCAATCAGAACTTTCTCAATTAACGATTATATATCTCCTTTACAGATAGTTGGGATAGCTTCTAGAAGGCTCTTTATTGCTTCATTCCAAGAAATTAGGTACTAATTTTTATAAATTATCTTGTGAACAATAATCATAAAACATCCGTAACTTTTTTTCTACTATGGGACTCAACGAGCAAAACAAATGATTATATTCTTCTAGTGAGTCGTTTTGTCCACGCTAGATATAAACTTGTCAGAGCTTTTCTCTACTTTTTGGAATTTAAGCCAGAAAAATCTGACGCTGTTTTCCTCTTCAAATCGGCTTCAAGACATTAGAAATGATTCTTTTGAAAATAGCTTATAGTTTGTACCTACTCAAAAGTGGAGAGTACTTCCACATTGCTCCACCAATTTTCGATACCAGTCTCAACTAAGCATAATATCAATCAGTTTCTAGTTGTAGTTCGTAAAAAACTGAGTCTAGAATTAACTTTTGATTTTCCATAAAGCGTGTACGTGACAAGTTCCTAGAGATTTCTGATACTGAAAAAATGAGCATCTTGATTTTCTGTCTCACTGACTCTAAATATTATTGGAGAGATTTTGAATACAGAACAAATAAAAACGAAACTTTCAATACATGTATCAGCAGGAGAAAAAATATGTGTATCTGCTATAAATCAAATGTACTTCGAAGGAGAAGCATATCGTATTATGTATTTAATGCTGAAGACTCTATAAAGACAGTGTTTTTGTACTCGAAGGAGTTTTAGTTGTCTTACTATCATTTAAATGAAACTTAAACACATCTATTATACACAAGTAAATAGGTTACTGCAAGTAGTACTATTTTTCTATCCTAAATATCCACCAAATTCGACGCTTTGAAACGAAGAAAACACTTTTCAACCATCAACAGCTAGAAAATAATTATAGCTTCAGCAATCTTCATTTAAGGAAAGACAATTCGTTTAGTTTTGATACACAAACTACAACGAATATTCTTTATTTCATCCCAAAGGAACGTGATCTTCGTTTGACATGTTTCGCCGTATCCTTTGTGGTTCTTCTGTATCTAAGTTTATAATTTTGGAGACGACGTGAGGAAGGGAGCGTCCATATCCGCACTTCAATCTTAAACATTCCTTTGTTCCTGTCCTTGGAGGATACATCAAGTTCATTATAAGAAATATCTAGAAAACTCATATGATTTCCTATACTTTCATCCATAACCACTTACATGTTCAAATAGAACGTCATGATTAGATGAGATTTTTCACATACGGGCTTTATTAGTCTCCTTCTCATTGTTGAAGTCAAGCTGTAAAAGTATAGTTTCAAAATAGACTCATGGTGCTTTGGGGTAGAAGTGAATCGGAAGGACACTCATTTAGAAGTTCTGATCAGTAGTTGATTTCAATCACTAAGAGACTGAAGAAAGAATAATGACATATAGAGTTGATAATAAAAAAGAAAATGTTAAGCAGAATTACTATCATATTTATATATGTAAAA